AAATCTTTTCTAAATTAAGATTCAAGCTCAAATTGATAAAAAAAAGAATAGGAAAATTAATTACCATCAGTAAGATAAGTATATGACACATCTATCAATATTTGATCTTGTTCAATGAGCATCTCTCAACATTTGCTTTTGTTCTTACATGGCACAATACTGAGCATTTTGAAAAGCATAAACTTGTTTCATATTCCTTTTAACTGATCAGTACATATTAGAAATTAGTTCAGATGATTGGGGAAAAATCAGATTTATCAGGTAGGAGACATCATTACTACTATTTTTATGCTTCTCTTAAATGTTGAAGGTACAATCTGGTACAAAAGTATACCCAAAAATGAAACTACCAATTAAATTGAAATCAATAGTGAATAAACTTTTCTAGTGAAAATGACTTAACTATTAAGAATGCTATGAAGGAATTTCCAAAACTCAAAGCCTTACCAATAACCAGATCAAGTTCAACATCTCGTCTGCACTCCTTCCAGGACAGCAAGTAGTCAAGGCTGGGGAGATCTTGAGATTCTATGTAACTGTTCACTGTCAGCATCATCTGATGAGCTTTGGCTATTCCGTAATGAACTTGCGTTTCCTCCATCAGAGACGTGTTCATTAGCTCTACTGTTGTGTCGAAAGCTTGCTGAAAGTACTCAGAAGCTTTGTTGTACTGACCCTGGTAAGGGAAGAGAGAGAATTATTTTCTTAATTTTATTTCACCACTTTGCATATTTGCTCAGCTCACCTTAATGTCACACACTGATCTCTGAAGAGTTCTTTGAGCAGAAAAGGACAATAAACCAGCTCTTTATTACTATAGCTCCCTTCTAACAGTATTATTGCTTGTTATTCAAGATCTTGAAATTAATTTGGCAGAAAGCTGTGCCTATGAGATTGAATTATATGAAACTTATGTCCTTTTAGATTAAAAAGTGCTCAAAAATTGTCAGTTTCATATGGTTCAGCCTAATATATTCTAGGGAAAAGAAATTTGGCAAAGAGTGAAATAACTTATTGATTTGGATGGATTTTTTATCACTTGTATCATTGTATTTATCCAATGAAATAATTTTAGCTACTTTGTTTTCAGGCACAGAAGGTCATTTTCAGCGAACTCATTTCATTAATGGCCTGTGAATATGAATATATCTATCAGCTAATTTTGTTACTGTTCTTGTTTTCCAAACTATATACTTGTCTTTCTTCACTGAGAATATTGAAGTAACATACATTAAGAAACACTATCTTACTAGCACTAGCAGAAATACAATGATCATTTAAGTATCTACCTCTCACTAAGTTCATTGCAATATTTCACATTGTGAAAATTTAAGATTTGAGGTTTTTCTGTTTGTTTGGTTTGGTTTGGTTTTGGTCATCCTCCCCTGTGCTAAAATTATTATCCCTCAAATGAAGTCTTTGTAAATAGGGAAGGGTTGAGGGGGTGAAGGGAGGGCTAGGAATGGGGACAACATAAGAACCAAGATGCATCATGTGAAAGTACAATTCCCAATGAGAAATGTAATTGTGTTGTATAACTAAAATGTACCAATAAAAGAACTTAACAACAACAAAAAAATAAAAATAAAATAAAATTATTATCCCTCAAATAAAAGTATTCACATAGCTTCTGTGAAACATCATGGCCAGTGGTACTTTATTATGTCATTAGCCTTCACAAGTCACACTCTGAGGAAAGAAGTCTTCTTATGTCACTGATAATAAAATCGAGTCTTAGAAAAGACTTCTCTTCAAATCACCTGAAGATCCTCACCAAAATTATTTCCTAAAGCAGGATATTGTTTCTAGGATTGAGTTATATTTGTAAAGACTCTAGAGAATAAAATGTCTCTTGTTTGCTGACTTGTGTTCCTGCTGGCTTCAACTCCACTCTTCCCTCCATTCCATACACACAAAGAGAGACATGCATGATACCAAACAGTCAGAAGTAGTGAGTTCTGGTGGATCCCAACACAGAGCAGTGACTACATTTCATCTTACCCTCCTATGTATTTTATGAATAACTAGGAGCTGCTCAAATGTTCCAAACCAAAGTAATGTTAAAGAGATAGAATCATTGCCCTGATTTGATCAGTGTTGAACTATCACACTGATCCCCATAAACATGTTCATTTAAAATAATAATAAAAAATTTACAAACATTCACGAGCCATCTTCAGAAAAGAAATCCTCATAAGATAGAATGTTTTACTAATGTTAAAGAGATAGAATCATTGCCCTGATTTGATCAGTGTTGAACTATCACACTGATCCCCATAAACATGTTCATTTAAAATAATAATAAAAAATTTACAAACATTCATGAGCCATCTTCAGAAAAGAAATCCTCATAAGATAGAATGTTTTACTATCAGTCTTTTGTTTGTTTGTGCTTTAGTTATTTGAGACAGTCTTGCTATGTAGTCTAGGCCAGACTTTGTACCTGGTCTGGCCTCAAACTTGTGATCCTCTTGCATCAGCCTCCTGAATGCTGAGATTACCCACATGTGCCACTAGGCTCAGCATTTACTACAAATTATTTTTTTCCAGTACTGGAGATCAAACCCAGAACCTTGCACTTGAGAGGTAGGCATCATTGAGCTACAGGCGTCACTGAGCTACAACCCTGGCCTAGTATTTACTATGGATTTTTAAGTCATCTTCTGACAATATTTCATGAAGGAAACTGACATAAAACACCATAGTATGAGTTTTATATCATTCACCATTCCAGTAAGTGCATCTTCAACTCCACCATCCTCATGTAATCATGGAGCTTGGGTAGGAATCAGACTGACTGAAAAAGAATTTTCTAGCAAGACAAGGAGGGGATGAAATAGGACATATGTGACAGTTATGCAACACAAATAACAGGACATGCAGCCCTATATGTCATACACAAGGACAGCCAAGGGGAACTGTTTATTCAAATGATGCTTTCAACCAAGTTTATTAATTTAAACAGAGTCCCTTCATATTATATGAGTAATAGGTTTTGTCTGTTAAAGTGAACAATTCTTTTATTTCAATTACAAAACAAAATTTATATGAGAAAAGGATTACTAAATTAGGAAAAAATAAAACTATCAAAGACACGTAAATTCTGGCTGAGAAATGATACAAATATTACTGATAATGGAAATAGAATAGTTAAAACTGTAGACTGTCTTGGTACACATCAAAGATATAGGCTAAAATACATGAAAATGTATAAATGCCTTTTTCTAAGCAACAAGGAAATATAACTATTTTTTTTCCTGTGCTAGGGATTGAACCCAGAGCTTTACACTAGGCTAGATTCCCAGCCCTTTTTTATTTTTTATTTTTTATTTTTTTTGGTACCAGGGATCAAACTCGGGTCCTTGAGCTTGCGCAGCAGGCAGTGAAACCACTGAGCTAATTCCCGGCCTTATTTTTAATTTTTGAGACAGCATCTTGTTAAGTTGCTAAGTTTCCCAGGCTGGGCTTGAACTTAAAATCCTCCTGCCTCAGCCTCCCAGAATGCTAGTATTACTGGGATTTACTTCACTCCTTGCTGAGAAATTTAATTATGTAATTGTTCTTCCAGTTACATTTCTGAGCTTTAAACTATTTGTTTTAGGTGACAGTTTCAACTAAGAAATTTGGATCATAAATAAATGGACATATATTTGAATTTCCAGAATTATTTTTGTATTATGTTGAAATGAACTCATTCATTTCATTCATTCATGGGTTCACTCATTAGTCAACTACTATGTAGTAAGCTCACAGGCAGTGGTGATTAAGCAATCAATGCAGTTTACAGTCAAGTTGTTGAACTTGCTGTTCAGGGAAATAGTGATTTACCTAAAACTTTCATTAGGTCTTATTTAACATGTGCTTTCCTTCCCTAAAATAGAAAGATCCTAATTAAATAATTATTCTTCCCTCAGACTGTGCCATCTTGGGCACACGCAACTGCCACAAAACTGAGGTCAGTGTAGATTTTTGTAGTTTAAAACACTGCCAAGGAAATACAATATTAACTCTCAGATGTTAATTTTCATACGTATCTTTTTCGAATGAGATTTCACTAATGTGTATTGTATTTCCAGTTTTTTAATTCTTAAAGAATTTATTATAAAAAAACCTCCAAACAAAGATCCATAGTTAATTTCTGTTATCAAAGTAATTTCTGTTCTATTATAAAATTCAGAAGATTCCAGAAATTAGCCCCAGCAATCTTGACTATGAGTTTAAAAATATATGGTGAATTTATACACTTCGTAATACATCTTGTGGGGAGAACACAACTTCAGTTTATGTAACTCTGAGAAGCATTTAGTGAATAATTCCAGGGCAAGATCTCAATGACATCACAGACTTTGAAACAAAGCTTGAATTATTACATAGTATAACAATTTTCAAGCATTGCTCTGATTCTGTTTTTTTTTTTTTTTGGTACCGGGGATCAAACTCAGGACCTTGCGCTTGTGAGGCAGGCAGAGGAACCACTGAGCTAAATCCCTGGCCCATTGCTCTGATTCTTATAAGAGCCTTCTTCAAGTCAAAAATGTCTTGCTACGCAACAAGCAGGCTCAAAATAAATGGGTATTTTCTCAGTATTAAGGATAAATCATTTTCCTCCTCATTTTTCCTACTATTTTAATGTTGGGATCACCATTCTTTTAGTGATGTGATTATTCTCAGATCTTATTAAGCAATATTAAATCTCATAAAAGGTCTATACCTGGTTATCTTCCTGAAAACATTCTCATTTGGCTACTTTATATTAATTATATATTTTCAATTAACACTCCATCAAAAGATCATCCCAGAGAGAGAGATGGCCTATCATGGTTAGTTAGTAAAAGGAAAACTAACTAGGATAAAGGATATTTTTAAGATGTTATAATTTTAATTATGT